GTAGATTCAATTGAGTTTTTAATGATTTTTGAGACTAAAGAGCTAAAAATTGGACAAATTAACATAGTTTAGGGTGCAATTTTTAAGGCTTTGAAGTTTGGGGTCAAAATTGGACTTAAAAAGTAACTCAGAAGTCAAAATTGAAATTAATCCTAATGTTTAAATTACCCGCTTGAAACTAGTCAATCTAAAACATGATTAATTTGATTTTTTATAGGTGTGAAGAAGAAAATTGGAACTTAAGCGGGTAGAAAAGCATATACAAAGTTATCAAAAAATCCAAATGTGATATATATGGTGTAAGCAATATGAAATTAACAAATAGAGATATAAAAGATAAAAATAATAATAATTCTTGGTGACAAATTAAGGATTTAGACTCTTCCCAATCCTCGGCGGGAAGCATGGGAAATGGCTAACACCTAAAACCCCAACACCGAGTGGCTCCAATACTATTAGCTAGATAGATAAGGAAGCAACTTAAAATATATAAATATATCTCCCATTTCCCTAAGCTTTCATTACACATTTACTAACTTATATATAAATATACTTTAAGAAAAAGTTTTCCAAGCAATAATATATATTAATGAGAAAACTTGCATTATTGGAAACCAGTGGGCCAACGGGAGGGCAGTTGACTCCTACAGAAAGATCACAGCATATCTTTGCATCTTTGATGCTCAGGATTTTAGATCCATTTTTTTAATAGAAGCCGAAAGTTAAAAGGTCTAAATAAATTAATAGTCTCTAGAATCTAACTGTGGAGAGTTCAGGGTTTTAAAAATCATGACCCATTGTGACATTTGGAAGTTTCATAGTCGTTGAATGAGTCCATTGAGCATGTATAAAATAATTATCTGATTTTAACTAAAAACAGTAAATGCTTGTATCTTTTATTTATTTGCACAACAAGCAATTTTATTCTTATATTATTATTAAAAATAATTTACTATATGGACACCGCCATGGGAGAAAAATAAAAAATGGCGATATGGGACCTTTAGAAAGAAAAAAAAAATGATTTGAGAGACCTTGTTAGGTATGTAAGAAGTATATGTGGGGCCCTTAAATTATTGGTTTTTCCAATATTTGATAAAAGGATTAATTAGCAATATTTGATGAAGCTCCAAAATGCGGGGGGCTTGATGTGGATTATTTAACTAATAGCTTTTGTAATACTTCACAATGTTGATGATTCATCATCAATTATATATATAAGCTTGTTATTTTATTTGTCTGGTCTAAATTTATGGCATCATTTGATATCAACATATATATATATATATATATATATATTACGTATGGATATATATAATTGGACAAATGTCATGGTCATATATAAATGCAACAAATAACAATTTATTTTAAAGTTTCTTGTGCAAGTTATCAGTCTTCGTTCACTGGATATAGAACAAAATAAGAATATATATGATTATGCAATATTTTGGTGATAGCTGGCTGGAAAGAATTATTGCTTTTAGTTTAAATCTCAAAGATGGCTACCTACGATGTTAATGTCAGTTATTCCTAGAAGAAAATAAAGGGAAGAAAAATAAACTCTTTTAGTTCTTCCCACGAAAACAAAAAGAATTTCATTGCAATTATAAATAATATATATATATATATATATATATGAATATCATTGCGCCACATCATGACGACATTAATTTATGAATCTTTCTTCTTTGTAGTGTAGTTCACTCCATGAAGAAGCCAACCAATAACAATAACAATAACGGGGTGTAATCTTTCTCAAAAAAGGAGATAAATACTCTTTTAAATTAAATAAGTCTTGATTTTTATCCATCATTTTTATTTAATACCTTTTTTAATTAAATACTATATTAATTAAAAGAGTATTAATAAAAAATAAGGAGTAACAATTTAAACTCGCGTAGTTTTAAAGATAAGTTAAGTTTTTTTTTCCTCTTCAGTAAAAGCAGTTAACAATGACACAATTTGAAACTCCCTTTTCCATATCCCTCAAATTAACAATGACACAATTTGATGTCAAGTTCCGAGTACAAGACAAATAGTTTACCTCACGTTCTAGTACAACATCGATCAATGAAATTAGTTATTTGTTTTGTTGGTCACTTATTTATTATTAGAAAAAAAAAAAAACAAAACACAAATGGAAATGTTTTCAAGACAAGATGTGTATGTGCAATACATATTGTATATATGTAGATCAATGGATTTTAGTGCCATGCTTTCATCCAATCAAGTTTGATTGGTTAGAATTCTTCTAAAAATTTGCAATTCCATTCCTATAAGAAACAAGAAAGAAAAAAAAAACAAAATTTAGTCCCGATGGTTCTTGTAGATCTGATTTTGAGGTCATTTATTCCAAAAGGCAAAAAACAAAAATTCCATATCAAGAGAGCATAAAAACAAGATCAAATTTAATTATTAGATATCAATAGCTACATGACCCGTAGGATATGGATTAGTTACTAGGAATCTAGGGACAAGATTTGATTGAGAAATGAAATTTGGACCAACTTTGCTTGGGGCAAAATACATGATTAATAATATCCACTGATTTCTGTGGTAAAACTAATCATAAAAGAGTCTCCAAAAACCAATCAATATATATAATAATATATATGTATGTATATATAGAACAAAGATGATATCTAAATCATCATTTTATGTGAGACTAAAAGAAAGGGAAAGGTGGGGAGAAACTGTTTGAGGAAGATGATAGCCCAAATGGGTGGGTCCCTTTGGTGACCAAAAGGATGGAAACTTTACATGGGTGTCAAAGGACCCACAGAAACATACCAACCCAACCGGCAACCCAAAATCAATCAACATAAAACTCCAAATGAATCTCTTTCTCTTTTTAATTGGGCAGTCGTTTCCAAGCTGACGACTTCACAGATTCCCCCTAAAAAAACTCTTTTCCTTTCTTATTCCTAGACCAATTGTCCTCTTTTTCCCCCCTCCCTATTACTATTTGTAAAGAAAATTTCATCATTTAAGTTGTCAAATATCCATATTGGGTGGAGTACTCATTTTTTCACTTTTGTTGCATGTTTTGTGCAACTCACAAGGTGAAAATACAAGTGACACAATAAAAATTTCTAGAGTACTACTGTAAGGTCGTTTATCAACTGTGTCTATTTTCAACCGTTGTATCTATTTAAAATCACATCAACATATGTAAAATAAATAATATCGAATATAAATTTAACAGTTGAAAAATATAGATTTACTAACAGTTTATTCCTACATACCATAGAAATCTCCTATATATGCAATTTTTTTCTTTCTGTCTGAAAATAATCTACATAACTTACAACTTTTTTTGAAGAAGATCTATATAACTTACAACTTGATTTGTATACATTTGTACAGGTAGTACTGTAAGTTTTTCCACCACCTGTGGTACTGTAAAACAATAATGTTGTCATTCACATATATTATATACAGATAAAAGAATAAACTGAAACATAAGGTAGCCTTAATATATAATAGCTTGTTTGATTTTTCTTTCTGCTTTCGGAAAATCACAAGCATCTGTCACTAGATTTTGCAAGTACAAATAAGTTAATAATATTTTCGACAGAAGCGAAGAAAAAAAGTGCCTAATAAAGGGGACCATAAAATTGTTTTTTTTTTTTTTTTAATCTATCATAGTTGCAAGATGGACATAGAGGATTTGATAAATTGGTATTTAAATTATCACAACCAAAGTAAACAGAAAATATAATATTCTCTAATAATATTTTCAGTGGTAGTTGGATAAAAGAATAAAACAGAGTAATAAGGTCGAAAATAATTTGAAGTAGCACCACTTTTGTTGCTAGAAAAGTGAAAACACATTTTGAATGCTAAAAGGTTTGGAGGTGAGAAAAAGAACAGAGAGAAGGAAAGAAAATGATGTGCATCATATGTGGAATAGATTTTCCCTAGCTTGAATATCTTCTTTATTCTTTTTCCTTTTCCTTTTCTTTTTCTTTTACCCCATTTTCATTATTTTGTATCATAAACCTCTCAACAGTCCTCAAACTTTCTTTCTAATTATCGATGCTTTCCTAGACAATGACAAAAGAAGAAGAAAAAAAGATATGAACTTACTTTCGCAAAGATACAATCCAATGTTTTAGTGCGCATTCATTCATTCAAGTTAGATTTTCATGAGAAGCGGTTATTGGAATAATGTAATGGGTCCAACTTTTTTATAGATTTGAACCATAATTCAAACATTTTTTCCTGTAGAATTTTATCTGATAAAAATTTATATTTCTATTTTAATCTAGGAAAAGAATGAGACCCACATCAATTATCAACAATTATACTTCTTTATTACATGATCAAATAAGTCTAAAACATACTAACACATGGACATATATATATATATATATATATATATATATATATATGTGTGTGTGTGTGTGTGTCTATATATGTATGTATATATCTTATAACATTGTACCAAACAGTGAATTTACGGGTTGACAGGTCAACCTGAAAATGACTCGTTATTTAATCGTGTTTCACGGGTTCGACCTGATTTTATATATATATCATTGAAGCTGTACCTCCACTTGTTGAATGCTTTACTTACCAAAAAAAAAAAAAAAAAATGAAAGAAAGAAGAAAAGAAAAAAGCACATCCATTTGTATATAATAAAAGTCCATTCCTGACTAGTAAAATGCTTAATTATAAGCAATTGCGAGCTGGTTCTAGGCATCTAATTTGGCTTGAAGTCGACTTAATGATAAGATCGCCTTCCAATAGAGTTTGGGCAATATAATTGGGAGTATAGTTAAGAATTCATAATTTTCAAGGAATATTGTCATCCTCAAAACAAATTTCAAATAAAGACCACTTTTTGATACCATATCAATTTACCACATTAAAATGTTCTATAACAGTGGAAAACATAAACCAAATAGAGTACTATTGATCCATATCACTAGAGATGCTAAATTATAAAATGGAGAATATATTTCTTTTAACGCAAAATGGAGAATATTTTGACTTGATATTGTTTGAATCATAGGAAAAAATCCATTCAGATGAGTAGAGATTTCCCCATCTTCATTCTTACACAGAAGAAGATTGTATCCATGGAGATTTGATTCATTTTCTTTTTACCTTTTTTTTTTTTTTTTTTTATAATAGTGGAACAAGGGAAAAAAAAAAGATAAAGCTAAGAAAAGAAGGCCATATCATACTATATTAGATAACATCAATGGTGGGACCCATCCATGGAAAGGCAAACATCATATTGCACTGCTCGCTTCCTTCTTGTGTGCCTCAAATTCTCCATTTTTTTCCCCTCACTACTCTCTGTCTCTCCCTTGAAGCCGTCCACTTCCAATCAGGACTCAGCCACCGATGACGCCGGTTTTTGGCGGCGGTCGCCGGGTGATATCCTTGCCGAAGAGTTGCCTTTCTCCTCGGCTTGCTTTATGTGCTTCTCCCTACATTCTAAGCTACAAAATGCCATGTCTCCCCTGTTCGATTTTTCCACAAAAGTTTCCCAACTTATAAAACATGAATAAAAGAGACTACTACATTTATGATATCAATAAATTAATCATAAATTCAGGCTAAATTTTTTTTTTCTTTGTCAGAAAAAACATTAGTGGACTCTTCATACTCCTTCCGGTAGATAGTGAAACGGAAAGTAACTACTTAGTACTTTTTTTTTAATAATTCTTAAAGATTCGTGCACGTAAACAGAATACATAATATATGGAAGAGAGAGATGTCCGAGAAAGCCATATAGAAAGTGGCGGTAAACTCCGGCCGGGCTTAATATTTTAGAAAATAGAAAGAGAGATATTTTATAATTCTAATAATGATTAGCGCAAAAATATGCAACATGCATGATCATCAAGAATTATTATTATTTCTAATATGAGGGTGTGAGTGAAAAAAGAAGAAAAAAAAAAGAAAAAAAACGACATACATGTAGATATAGATGTCACGGCCAGAAGCCAAGCGACGCTTGCAGAGGCCGCAGGTGCGGAGGAAATCGGCGGTCTCGACGAAATCGGTGGAGTTTCGGCGGTAAGTGTTGGTTCTCGGCGACAGCATGGACTGCAGGAAGTTATGATTGGAGCGCGATTCTTGGTAGTTATATCCCAAAAAACTCGTATTATTGTCCTGACTTTGAGCTTCAATGAAGTTATGGTTATGATGATGATGAGGAGGAGGAGGGGCCAGTTGATCGCACGGCTCCGGCGCTTCACCGCCGGTGAGATCAACGGTGATGCCTGTCATGCTCGTCGTTCTCTTGATCGGCAGTCGTGGACGTTTTCCGAGCAACATATTTTCTTATTAAAGAGAGAGAGAGAGAGGAGAGAGAGAGAGTAATGGTTATGGGAGAGAGTGGGAGAGTGAGAATAGAATGGAAGGTGGGGAAGGGAGATAAAAAGAGGAGAGAAGAGGAGAGAGCGAATCTGGGCCGTTGCAGGGGGGCACCAAGTACAAAAACTCCACGTCACGCTCTTTCCCACTTTTTCAAATGCTTTCCCCTACCCTTTTTTCCTTGCTTTGTTTTCTTTCTTTTTTTTTTTTTATAATTATAATAAATTTAATTCATTTTTTTATTGTTTTAAGAAATAATCAGACGTACTGATAATTAAAAAAGATGACCCAATTTAGTTAGGAAATATAAAATGAGGGTACCTTCTTTTGGAGTGTAACTTGAGTATAGTTTTTGAGTTGAATTTGAGTTATAACTTGAGTTGAAGTTGTAACTTGAATAAAGTTGAGTAAAATTGAATAAAATTGGAACTTAAAAGAATGTTAACTTGAATAAAGTTGTAACTTGAGTTTAAACTTTTTCTGAGTTTTGTTACAAAAGAACAACCCTTGAGTCTTTCTATTGAAGGACCTTATTTGAACAGTGCACGTTTGAATCGTTAAATTTAATTAAAATTATAAATAAAATTTAAAAGTATGTAAAATAAATAGATTTTAATATAAATTGAATGACTAAAAAGAAAAACCTATTGATAGTTTAATTTTTCAAATACTAATGCAAAAATCTCCATATACATGTTGTTTATTCACTAAGAAAATATAAAAGTGAGCAGAGGTTAAAACAATTGCTTTTAAACTTCCCCTTAAAAACCAACCAATTCCCTAGCTCACTTGTCGTTTTCTTTCTTTGTTTTTTTTTGGTAGATTTTTTTTCTTCTTTATCTTAATTTTGTGTGCAATTTTTTTACCCGGAGCAACATTTCAATTCCTAACATTAGGCTTGCAGCAGCGGTAAAGATATTTGCAAGAATATTGATCCTCCAACTATTAACTTAACTTTCCCTCCGACCATGGTATACAAATGTGTCACACCATTGAGTTATTTATCTTCCGCCGTCACTATGTCTATGTCCTTAGCATAACTTATACCGACTTTTATATTTGCATTTTTTTTAAAGGAAAATTTGTTCCAACTTCCAAAACATGAAACGTAATAGAAAGACCAATTAACACAATATTTTTTTTAAAAAAAATAATCCATAGGATCTCCTATTATAAGAAATATGATATCCATTGACAATCAATTTTACAAATAAACTCGAATGAAACATTTAAGGAAAAATAATAGGTATCAGGTTTCGTAAATAAAAAATGAGATTTTTTTATGGTGGAACCACAATACGTGCTCCACCGATAGAGCACTTTTTTTTACCATTAAATTATTTTTTTATCGGTCAGATCTGTTAATTCTGTGCGGCAAGTTGTAAATTTTTAATACGAATTTGCACAAATATAACCGTTAAAAAATTAATACAACAGTTAAAAAAAACAGTACTCCACTGTCAAAGCACTTATTGGGGTTCCATCATCAAGAATCCCATAGAAAACACTCAAAAAGATACACAGAAATAGCAAGCACACAGATATATAGTCCATAAGAAATTCCAATCAACTATCGTTATTACAAACGAAAAAATTCTTGCAAACGAAACCTCAAAAAGAGAGAGAAAAAATTCTTGCAAACGAAAGCACCAACCAACATTAAAAATAATAATAATAAAATAAGTAAATTAATTGGAGTAAGAACTATCGTTATTACAAATGAAAAATAAAAATGTATACAAGTCATAACATCAAAACGCTAAGGCTTGTTTATTTCACCGATTCGAATTTAGAATTTGAGTTTTGCTTCAGTAAAAAGTTCTAAAAAATAGTCGTATTTAACTTTTTTACTGCAGTAAAAAACTCTCACATAAAATCACACATCAACTTAAATTAAAAACTCATATCAGTAAACTAAACGGGTCTTGACACACACGTGCTACTGTCGTAGGTGACAAGCCTTCGCCGTAGACCAAAACCTCAAAAGAGCAGGCCGCGGAGAAGATCGGCAACTTGAAAATGCCTCGCGATGAACAGTGACCCACCTCATCCTTAACTTCATTCTGGAAGTCAACATCTGACGACGGTCAAATTGTGCATCGAACCTCCGGCCAGGAACGCACTGCTCTTTCTCTTCCGGTCACTTCATTTTTCTAGAATGGGCTCTAATTTTGAGCTTGCATTTTTTCTCTTATTTCCTTCTCATACAATAAAGTAATAGATCTATCCACAACGTTATAAATAGATTTATAGTAAAATTTATTGGTTGAAAAATGAAAAGTAAATTAGACTATATACAAGATGGGATAAACGCTTTCGGGGAAAGAATATTTGAACACAGTTAAGATTACTCTTCCATAATCTTTTTCCTCTCATGCGTCATGTTCACTTTGATATACCTACTGATGTTTTTCTTTGCTATATATGAATTACAGGAGTAGTTCCGTATTTGCTTCATATCCTTTTCATTTTTCGTTGCCTACTAGAAAAAATTTTAAATTATTTTGTTGTTAAATTTTGATTTAGAGGTAATGATGTTAGGAGATTAATAAAAAAAATTAAATTCGAAGTACAATGTCTCAACGTATATTACATGGTTCAGGTTACCCGTTCAAATTTCCGCATCACAAATGACCAGAAACTAATCATCTCATACCATGTCATTTAATTAATGAACTTAAAGAATAGAAAAAAAAAACATTTCAATTTTTTTTTAAATGACGTGACATAATGTAGTTGGTTAGATACCATTTAAAACTTTAAAATTAAACATATAATTTAAGTTCATATTATGAATTCAGATCATCTGTCTAATTTTTATTGTTCCAAATGATATCGAACCAATCATTTTATGCCACTTCATTTAATAAACTTAAATTCAAAGAATGGAAAAAAGACAATATTTCAAAACTTTAAACGGGAATGGAGACAAATACTCCTTAGAGTGTATGGGTTTAGATTTTACACCTTACTTTTAATTAATATCTTTTTTACTTAAATAACTATATTAGTTAAAAGGGTATTAATCAAGAGTAAATAGTAAAAATCCAGACCCATGTACTCTAAGGGTAATTACAATAAGGGTAATTACAATAATTTTTTTTTATAATGACGTTGTATAATATGATTGGTTAGACACTATTTAGAACATTGAAATTGAGCACGTGATTTTTACTTTTTATTTTTTGAAAAATGGGAATTGCATTCTAAATGAGAGAGATAGAAACATAATTTAGATACGAAAGACCATAATGCATTTAGCGATTTAATCCCAACCATAGACCGGAACTATCGGTAAATTCAATTGAAATGCCTTAGGGACAACGTGTATCTAGTTCGAAGGAGAGGATACTGAAAAGGCACACAACTAATCGATTATACAAATGGCTTTTTCAAACACACCACTACAATAGGTGGATTAGTCCGATTGATTAAGATTGAGAGACTAAAAGCACTGGCGCCTACAATGAAACCACAAAGAAAGACTTGCAGACTAGACCTAAAAACAGGGGAGACCACCTCCAAAAACAAACAAACAACAGAACCACACTAAAACTAAACGGTGGAAACATTAATACTTTTATTTAACAAACACACAAATCAAAACATAAGGGAAAAACCCAAATGATGCCAACTGAATCTCCAATAACATGCCAGCCATCGTCGCGGATGAGCAAGGGAGCCGTAATGCTGCAAGCAAGCTAACGAAATGCTAGATTAAGGCCGAACCACCGCCTCCACCCACCGCCACCAACTAGGGAAAGCGTTTCATCCATAGAGCCGCTATCCTACTAGGGCCGAAACCCCTATGACACAACAACACCAAGGCACCCATAGGTCCCTAGCCTATAACGAAAAGCGCAACCCCTCAACCTCCTCCTTCATCTTCAGCAGCTACTTCACACCACATGGGGCATAACTTCGCCAACTTAAGCGGCTGCAAAGAACGCACCAAAAAAGCCCCCTTCCCCTCTTCTCCCACCCAAACAACAGCCACGTCGACCCTTTGCCGAGAGGATCCACACCGAACCACCCAAGCTCCTTCCATGGGGTTGGGAGTCCCGAGCCAAGCCCAATAGGAATGCCATACTCCAGCCTTTTTAAACTTATTGCTAAATGGCGAAAAGAGAAGTAAGGGAGAGGAGGAAAGAAACCCTAACGACGCTTCACTGGCTCCCATTTTGAAATTAAACATGTAATTTGAGTTCATATTGTTCTTGTTTTTTTATACAGTTATGACTTTCTCTGGTTATTATATATTGATGGTTAATGAGTAATGATACCCTAAATTAGGATTTTTTTTATTACAAATTTAGGATATAAATGATTCCACTGTTGTTGATTTTTTTTAAAGAAAAAATATCATAAGCTTGCTTGAAAATGATATTAAAAAAAAAAAAAGATAAGTACTCTCGTTGTCATGCAAAATGAAAATGAAAAACTTAATTGCCAAATGGTCTTTAAAATTAGCCTTATGTTCAAAGTCAAAAAAGGCTTTCAGCATTATGTCAAAAACCTGAAAACGAAATTTGCTTTCATCTCATCATCTACTTTGTCTCCGTTTCATTTGATTTAGCTTAACTTTACACTATGTAATCCAAATAATACTCTTATTCCACCTAAAATTTATTTTAGGATTATATTAATAAATGCTTTTAAAATATGCATTTTGTTTCAAAGTGTCTCTTAATTTTATAAAACGGTTTAAAACACATTCTGATATATAAATAATATTTCAAATTACTCTCTCTTTCTATTTCCGATTATAAATTTAACAATTTTACTTATGTGATAGGTCATTAAGAAATAATTAGAGACATTAATTTCTAATTAATTTATAAACATAATTAAATATTAAAAAAAAATAAATTAATAAATAAACAACCTGACTTTTTTTTTTTGTTAATTATCAGACTTTAAAAAAGTTAAAAATTAAGGGCATGTTCTTTGAGTGAAAAACTAAAAAAAAAAAAAACAACTCAAGTTACAACTTTATTCGAGTGCATGTTTTTTTAAG